CCCACCTTTTTTGGACATGTCCGAAACTGAATCATTTTTGGTGTGACATATTTAAGTGATGTACGACTGTGTGTTTGAACCTGTCCCGGAGATTGCATTATTTGGGATTTCTCCTTCGCTACTTAAACACAATGTTTATAAAAAAAACAATATTATAAAAAATACAAAAAATAAACCAATCAGAGCTGAAAAAAAGTTGATCATCCCCAGGTCGTCAAATACCGACGCTTTATCCAACATTTTTGTAAAAGTGAACTAGCAGCTTTAAGTATCATTTTTAGGTACTTTTACTTTACTTGAATATTTCCATTTCATTTTCTGCCTCTTCAAATAAATTCTACCCAGCAGTAAGTATTAGATAGAAGTAAATTATCCCCCACCTTATGACCAGCTTCTGAAGTGAATTTTTAAATTCATGACTTTTACTTGTACGAGAGTATTTCTTTTACCAGTGAAAACCAGAGGGGTCTCCAGATGATTAAAGGGACAAGAATGAAATAGCACAATTCACGGTGCTATCTGAATTTTGAATATTTGAATATTGCAGGCAGATGTGTAAATTTGTCAAACCTTTGCTCCCTCCTCACCAGCTTCACTATCATAAAATGCTTTGTGCAGACTGTGTGACAAAATCATTCCGACACAGATGTGAGACCAATATATAATTTATTGTTTGAAGCCCCAGTCAGGCTGTTGATCGTAGTCTTCATTATCTCCTTCCAAGTCGTTGTAAATGACATCTTTGTGGTGATGCTGACAGCTCTGCACTACCTGGAGGATGGTGGCAAGGCGTCGGTCCAAAGCAGAGAGGTGTGGCTCAGAGAGAAGGGGGGCCACTCGTGCCAAAGGATCCTGGACCAGAGACTCCCGCATGACATCACTCAGGCGGAAGCCAGGGAGGGACAAGAGTCGCAAGCGGAGGAGGGTGGAGCGACGGATCCTACATATGGGAATGGAGAGTAAGAATTAGTGTTTTTATACTACACCTTACAACTTCACAACTAGTTTCTTACAATTTATTTCACCCACCGTTCATATTTAAGTGTTCAAGTCACTCAGTCAACTAGACTTTTTGTTTGTTTGTTTGTTTGTTTTACCTGCAGCACTGTTGCAAAGGAGCCAGAATAGATGGCTCATCCCGAGAGTGACGCCCAAACCTGGAAAAACATGGGACAGTCACAAGAAAGTCCCGCACATAAAATGTTACCACAATAGACTTTTTTTCACAGCAACATGAAATAGTAGGGTAAACACCGGCGTTACCAATGACACTAATCAAGGCTCTGTTCCATTTAGTGTAGCAGAGCCTTTCCAGTGAGCCAACAATAGCAGCACCCCGACTCTGTCTGACCTGAATGAGATAGAACTTTAATAAGTGTCACTGGTAACACTTGTCTTTACCCTACTATTTCATGTCAGTGGCTGCTGTGAAAATGGTCTTAACTGACACCTGAGTCAGAAATATAGTGTTAGGCTGTCAGTCATGAGTTATTACAACTGCCTGAGCTGCAGTGAGTCAGCAGACATTCACTTTACTCACGCCCGTCCGTTATCCAGATGCAGCAGAAAAGTCTTGTTGCCAAATTTCTCAAACGTCTCATAGTGGTGTCTGTCCATGTTGCCTTTGAATGAAAAACAATCCTGTTTTTTAGACTATGTGAGAGCCATTTTTGTAAAAATGAAAAGAAGAAAATAAATAAATAAATAAATTGATGGAAAATCAAACATCCTGAGTTCATTAACTTGAGAGATAAGGCTCTTATTTACTACATTTCACTCTTAAACTGAGGACATAGAGGTCAGTGACCCCCCATTACACTGCCTGTAAGCCCCCCTTTTGTTGCAAAGTGATTGACTAATGGATTTAGTTTAAAGTGCACAGACTGACTCATGAGGAAGTCCAGTACAGCCATGTCTATGAGATCCACCAGTCTGGTGCCGTGGATGTAAGGAGGCGTCTGTTTCACTGTGTCACAGTAGGCCGGGTCCTTCTCCCACCTGGGAACAACAGTGCAATTCAGTATAATTCAGTTGGAGAGAAAAAAAAATTACACATACAATATTTGTAACTTTCTTCCAACTTTTCTTCTTTTGTTGATAACTTTGAGATTTAGCAGTTAAGAGTCCACCTGGACTGAGCAGGAAAACAGGCAGACTGTAGGCTGATCCATTGGTAGTCTTCACCTTTATCACAACTCAATATGTTCTTTTAGCTCAGCACAGTTTATAGTTCGCTGTTGCTCTGTTGTGATCCAGAGGCCTCCAGATACTTTAACCTGAGGAAAAATGTGTCCACGTTGTTTTTAAAAGTATACAAATGGTTCTCTAACAGCCTGAATTTGGCTTATAAACAATCACACTAATAATGAGCTCTATGTATTGACATTAACATTGATTACACTGACATTAACGCTTTTGTGTTAGCCACAAATTGAATGTTGTGTTGCAGTTCCTCATTCAGACCACTGGAGGGCAGTGAAGACTCGTGATTCTACATACACTTGTCTCAACTGTGAAATCTCCACCAGCAACAAGGTTGAAACATTAAAACACTTATTACCCACCATAAACACAAATAGAAAGTAAAGCAATAAAACAAAGAGGGTAATCATTGCAGAGATGTTTTTCTGTTCAAATTGTTGATTATTAATACTGTAAACATTAGCAATGACATACCTTTGAACGCTACCTTTAAACAAAAAATATCAGTAAGAGACATACTGTGTACCCACTGTGCTAGCTTTGTGCGGCTGTAGGAGCGTCTCCATGGTGACCTCCACGACCTGCGGGGAGCGAGGGTGAGGTCAGGTAGCATGACAGCCAGGGAAACCTCCAGTGCATGCGGCTGACCGCACACTGGGTGCTCTGACGAACAGTAGTACTCACACCGGCCATAGAAACACACGTTCCCCACTAGAGGGAGTCAGACAGACGACAGCTTTTGGTTTATCGGTCGGTAGGGCAAGGGAAAAATGTTGATCGCTGTTTCCTAAAGCCAGAGGAAATGTCCTCAAATGTCTTGTTTTGTCCACAACCAAAATATATTCAGTTTACTGTCATTAAGGACTAAAGAAACCAAAAAATATTCACATTTGAGAAACTGACATCAGAGAATTTGACTCAAAATGTAAAAAATCTTTTGTGAAAATAGGTCTTGCTTTGTGAAAGTGCAAAGGCTTGGATACATACTGATATACACACATACCAGGGGAAGTGAAGAAGGTCCTAGACAGCCTGTGGTCAGTGGTGATCTCTCTGATCTCTGTAGTGACATTGACGAGTCGACCGACCACTGGAGGGATCCTGTTAAAGCCCAACAATCTGAGACAGACACAAACATTAACAAAAGAAAGATACACAAAATAAAACAAAAGTAAAGACAGAGGGCATCAGCAAGAATAAAGGGCACTAGTGCTGTATTATTTTTTAAAACTCACACTTCACTTCCTTATCCTATAATACAAGCTGTACAGTGGCTTTATTAAAGAATAACTCCAGTGTTGGACCAGTGACCTGGTGGCTACTGCTGTGCCTGGTGCAACACAATGTACCTGTCAAGGTGAAAAGCAGCGATCTCTGCATTGTGTCTTTCAAAGTCTGAGAAGTAGAAGAGGTTTACATCCGTCTCTGCATCTCTGGATTGTCTGTGCCATAGAAAAACACGTACACACAAATGTTTCAGGCTATATGCTGAGATACATACTGAAGATGTGACCTCTAGTTGTGATGTGGCTGTCAGCATTACTGAACTGGAGCAACACAAACACTGTCAGCAGTCAGTCATTTATCTTTCAGTTACAGTGCTGTCTTACTTCATGGGCTTCAGCAGAGCTTGTCCGTAGTTTGGAAACGACATGAGCAGTTTGAGCTGGGTGCCTCCTGTCTTCTGAACTGAAAGATATGCATAAACTGAATATGGAGTGTGCATCAACAGTGCAAAAAGACAGACAAATTCATTGCTTACACACTCACATCAGGACCGTTGTAAGTCATCATTAGAAACACATATCACATACTAAAATATGTTTTATGGTTACTGAATACTGAACTGGGTGTATGTTCAGTGCAGTACACTGGCTTACTGCAGGTAAACCACCAACTGCCACTGGACCCTCCATTTGATAAATTACTGCAATAAGACCTGGATAAAATACTTAATGACACACATTGATTTAGTTTTTGGCAGCATAATGCATTATTCATGTAAAAACATGTGAATCTTGTCTTTTTGAAGATCTCTCTGGTGACAATTCAACCCCTGCACCACACAAACAAGAAACTAAGTGTGTCATTTGCTAGTTTGCAAAAAGACTGAACTTATTTTAGCAACAGTGAGATCTGTAAATTTGACACCAAGGCACTTTTTAGGTCTTTCATCCAGAAAAAAAAAGCATGAGTCACCTCTTCCACACTTCAAACAACTGGGACAGTGTGAATGAGTTAAATCAAAGCATGTGTTCTTTCAAGGTTAAGGTACCAGACATTCAGAGGAGGAGACTTCTTTGGTTGTTGCATGCCATGCTTGTAGGAGCAAGTCCAATAAATAATTCAAAAGCTATAAATCCTGAGATATAAATCAGATTCTCTCATATTTATTTATAATATCTTTATAATATCAGTTACAACTCTGATTAAAGGAAAATAAATCTGAATTCAAATGTTTCAAGGTATTTACACTGCGGTGAGTGTTAAACTTGAAAGAAAATGGATGACACAGTCACGAAAAATCAGCCTGTAGCCGAGATTAGTGCTTAATCTGCACCGTATAACACAAATCTCAATGCATTATTCATTCTGCAGCGCGCTGAAGACTGAGATGAGCAAACACAAAATGAGCATGTGTTGATGTGAGGGACTCGTGTGCATATGTGCATTTAAGTACGTGTATGGGGATGAGTGGGTGTTGAGATAATGTAAGTTTGTGGGAGGATTATATTTATGACCTGACAAGAAAAAAATCACACAAGCTGCGTATTGAAGATGTTCGATTATCTGGTTTGTATAAAACATCAGTCACTTTTGTCTTAACCTGTATGCATTTGCATTTCATTTGACTTTGTAGTGTGTGTGTGGGCCTGAGTTTGTGTCTGAGTGCGTATGCAGAACTTCATTTGCCTCCCAGCACAAACTACGGCCTCAGAATCTGTACACAGTCTCACATTACCAATTTTCATTTTTCTATTGCTAAGATTTTTGGATTGCAATACGTTGCTAATGTTATTGTGTCCACCATTCAATAAATGTAAAATAGATATTCACATTGCACACACACACACGCAATCCATTTATGGCCTACAGTGCATGCCTCCTCTATGTTTGCTTTTCCACCTTCTCCTAACTCATATTTCACTAAAAAGGATTTGTGTTTATCTTTTATTCTGTGTAAATGTGCTTTGTGATTTCAATGTGTGTGAATTTAGTTTGAATCTAAGATATGTGTACCCAAGGATCTGTCATCCTACTTGTGTAACTTTATGTGTGTTTCTAAAAATGTAATATTCACTGTCTAAATATGAACTTTGGCTCGGCTGACTGTTTTCACGAAGGAAAAACTTTAGTGTTGCCTCTGGCTCTTTCACAGCTTGTTTGTATAGCGGGATAGGAGTTAAAGTGAGGAAGCAGTGTGTGGCTTTATTATAGTAGCAAGAGGACTCTGAATGATCATACTTAAATGAAATCTGTGCACTACTAGGGCAATTGAGGGTAAAGGTCAGCTTATAACCATTTGTAAATTTTGCTGTGTTGAGCAATGTTGCGCTCTGAGATGAAGTACTGTATTTTATCTGTGGGTGGCCTTGAACCCCGACTACATAAAGTGTCAAACAATGACAAACATGGGGATAGTGGCATTGAAAATGAAAAAGCAAGAGTTAATCTAATTGAATTGTTATGTCTTCAACTCTTACAACACATTTCCTAAAAATAACTGGCTCCTCACACGGCCTTGTTTCAGTAAAAGCCGAATACAGGTCCAGATATTCAATATGTTAATGACTTAATTAAGTTTTTTCACATGAGTGGGTTGTGCAGGTTTTGGCAGAACGTGGATCATATTTAAAGAATCGTGTCTGCAGTATGTTTTCTAAACATTTTACTCAAGTGAGAAATTCTGTCTGGCTGAAACTTCAGGGTGTATTTTTAGGAGCAGAAAGATTAAAGTAAGTGTAATTAAATCCCTGGTAATCCTTCACCTTTCTCCCTGTGCACCCTCCTCTAATGTCTCTCCTTTGTTTCTGGTGGTTTTAACTGACTGCGTCCTCTCTTCTGTTTGTTCTCTTGCATGTTAGCCCTGCCCCCCTCATTTGCTCACCAGCCCCAAGGATACGCTGAGTTGCCAAATATTGAGTCAGCTGGGCCAGGTTGGGATCCTTCCTGTTGTACAGCTCCCAGCGAGAGATGCCCAGGTGGAACCGCAGCCAGGGAGGGTGGGTCTCCACATCGCTCGTCCAAGTGACTTTGTCGTAGCCTTCCTCCTGACTGGCACTCTGCCTTCAGGAGAGGAAGTGAAGGTGATAAATAGGCAGAACTGGCCAAGGAAGGTTATAGTTAAACTGAATTTCAGAGAGTTGGCTTCAGGTTGGCTCTGAGATATAAAACAAGCTGTAGGGGTAAAAAGTGTGATGAGGTATATGTATGTTCCATATGAAGCAACACTTTAGCAACTAAAGCAACACATTACATGCAATTAGAATAATTTTTCAAAACATATGCAGCCTAGAGGCTGAAAGATCTGAGAGAGCACATCAATGCTTTGACCTAAATGCGAATATCAGCATTGATCAGCACGTTAGCAATGCTAACTACAACAAAATACTCAAATACCACATAACTATCTTCACTGTTTTAACTTAGTGTGTGTCTAGCATGCTAGGGAAATGTTGGTTTTGCAGATATAGCCTAGTATTGGACACAGGTATTGGACAAATTAAAAGTTTTGACCTGACACACCTGAAAAGTCAGGGTTTGTGCCAAATTTCATGGCAATCCAGTAGTTGTTTAATAGGAACTAAAACCTAATGGTGGCGCTAGAGGAAAAGTCTGAGGATCACCAAAGTCAGCATCGGCTTCAGCCTCTGAGGATCTTGAATGTCTTTATAGACTTAGGACATTCATCCGGTAGTGGTTGATTTGAACTTAAGCGTGGCAATAAATGTCTCATTTGTAAAGCAAGCCAGAAGCTTAAATTTTCACATTTTTATAAAAGATTTCTGTGTAGAAAACTGTGGTCCATCCATCTGTTTCACTTACCACTCACTGTCACTATTGATGGCGTCTTCACTTCGCCCTTCCTCACTTCCCGTATCCCCTGCGTGTTCATTTGTCTTCACCCTCAGCAGCCAATCATCTTGCAGCAGCTCTGGGCGTGGCAGGTTGTACAGCGGGTGCTTGAACAGCGCTTCCAGCTTAGAACCACTCTTAACCTTTTGAATCACTTTTACAGATCCAATCAGCTTCTTCTCTCTCTCAGTGGCGTCACTGAATGAGTCTTTCTCTTTAGGATGCAAGGTTTTGGCATTCGGTTTGTGATGCTCTTCGTCCTGACGGCTTGTTGGGAGTTTATGTGAGGAGGACACAGCTGAAGAAGAGGAGGAGTGGGCACTAGACTGATGGTGCTGAGTATCTGTTCGTGGAATGGAAGAAGATGACAAAGAGGAGGAGGTGGGAAGGACACAGGCAGTCTGGAGGACTGAGAGACAAAAAAATGCCAGAAGGAGGTGGAGAGCGAGGGACAGGCACGCCAGACCCAGATAGATGGAGCGAGTGGATTGACACAGGTTCAGTTTTATCATGCTGGAGGAAAGAGAGGCAACAACAGAGAAAGACATTTAAAATCTAAACCATGACCTGCCAGCCCATCAAACCTGATCATGATGAAACATTTTTTGATCATTGCATTCTTATACACACACACAGAAGTGGACAAAATAAGAAAAACACCAGATGAATACTAACTTTTACTTTGAAGTAACTCCATTGCTCACAAAGGTTGTATTTGGGTAAATGCCAATTAATGATGTTAATGAATCAACATGAAACAACTAACAATGTACTGGTCAGAGGTTACACAGGGGCTCCAGGGTGCAGTGCTCTGTCTACTTCATTCACACCTCATGACTATGGATAATGGATCCATCCATGTAAAGCCTGAATGCTCTCACGTAACATTTTATAAGTTGAGCAGGAATTCAAGTTTTGAAAACTAGAAGTCTGTCATCAGGTGTAGGCTAATTTAAGCTAGCTAAACTAGCTGAATATTTTCATCCCAGTTGCAGCCATGGATTTGAGAAAGTGGTTGACCGGCTTAGTAGCAATCACTTCATGGCCAAAGGTTGTGATGAGTTGTCGGAGTTACTGTCAGTGTCACCGGCTACTACTAGCCTGCCTCATAATGCTACATCTTGCTGTGCTGACAGTGCTATTGAACCTGACACCACTGTGGATGATTTAGGAGAGGATGGACCTTGGTCAGTCTCCACCTCCCCATGGGCCTGTTAGGGAGCAACCAGTCAGTCCGGAAAGCGGATGCAGCTTCATTTGCGTGCATTTTTGTTCATGTAAAATGTGCATGTCCTTGCATTTATTTGTGATTTCTCCTTGGGTTTTTAGTCAAATTTTTAGGATAAGGGATTTTTATCTTAAAAAGTTCTCCTGGGGAGCATACCATAGAATTGTTTCACTTGCACATTACATTGCCACTTGCCAGTAACTTGGTGGCCCTCTGTGCCCCTTTGGATAGATGCACTAGATCAGACAATGGTACTAGTCACATTAAATACAAAATTATTTAATTTGACAAAGGAAACAATTATCATGCTAAGATTTACCATTTAATTTGCACTAAACACAAAAAATATCTGAAGTTGACATTCATCCAGAGTGCGCCATTAGTAACAAATTTCACGTCAAACCATCCAGTAACTGTCGAAACATTTCACTCAAAACTATGAGTGTTAACCTCATGGTGGCACAAGAGAAAAGGTCAGAGCATTACTAATCGGTAAGCTTCATCACCATGAATGTCTGTTCAGAATTTTGTACCAATTCATCCAGTAGAAGCTGAGATATCACTGAATAGGTTAGGATTTTGACCTGCTGAGGGTGCTACATGAAAGTCAGTCACTAGGATTCATCCCTCGGCCACCATGAATATCTGTAGCAAATCAAAGTCACATTCCAATAGTTGTTGAGACATTTATTCAGAACCACAAGTGAATGTCACGGTGGCGCTAAAAAGTTAGAGGACTATCAATGTCAGTAAGATTCATTATTTGGGGACCATGGATGAAACATGTCATGTCAGTCCCTCCAGTAGTTGTTGAGATATTTCAGTCTAGACCAAAGTGCTGAATGGCTGACAGACTGAGAGGCTGACACAGCCATTCAATCTGCAACAAAATTGCATATTATAAAATAACTGTTTTTTTGAACACCTCTGGAAAAAATTAATGCTGAAAAATGCATGAATATAGGGCGCTGCACTATAAATTATGGAATGATAAAAATGTATTCTTGCATCTTTGACCTGTTTGGAGAAAGCCAAATGTTTCATCTAACCATCAGTATGGGAGCCACGTTAGCAAGGCCATTTCACTAAATGTCTGCATGGTTGTAAAACAGTTTATACATTCTAGCTATATACCACATGTGGCACTACCACAATAATATCCTGCTTTTAAAGACATCCAGCAGCGGTATCATGATCGTCATGATGCAGTTAAACACCTGCTTTCGTCTCCTTAAACATAATTGAGACTTTACTGGATGTTTAGGAACTCAAGTCTGCATGTCTTTACTCCTCATTAAACTGGAGGCTCATCTAAGTCACATCAATAAGCAAACATTTAGAAGGATAAACACTCTGTTGATGAATTTACACTGAAGACAGAGGGATGAGCAGAGAGACAGGGACTCATGCATACCTTCACACTCCACTAGTTAAGCAGAAAACTGTCAGATAATCATTGACATCAAATCCTCAAAGAAAGAAAAGCTCACTAAGAAAATCAATACATTATTGAACAACTTGCTGCTCCCAAATTCCCTGTGTGGACCAGCAGGCTGGAGGAATTACTTACATCTCTTTCCCTTGAAGACCTTTTCATCCCCTCTCGGTTCTGCTCCCCTTCTTCTGTGAAAGAGGAAGATATTTAGAGTTTGGTGGCATTTCTACCTTTTTTTTTGCCCTGTTGCATATGTATGTTTGTTTGTTATCATACGGTCACTGCAGTCCAAACAGAAGAGGACTGGCATGCTGCGGTTGCAGTGACCTGTGTCTGCGTGACCCACAGTTAAGAGGAAGGGAATGACTACATACTGCCAAATGATCTTTTACTCTGTCTGGATCAATGCAGGGTGAGTGATAATAGCGGTGCTACACAGCTACAATGGAGCAGCTTTGAAAAAGAAAATGCTAACAACACATTCCACCTTCTCTTCTATTTTCTTGTCTGAGTTGTTCTACCATTCTTACGCTGATGATTTTCTGTTTCAGGGTTTGACTTTAAAGGACACTCGATGTGGTTTGTGTTCATTTCATTTCTTTTATCAAGCACAATGTTTTGCTTCAACACTCAATGGAAATACAAGAGATGTCAGTGAGCTGGATCCTCTTATAAACTGTTTGATACTGGCAGAGCATTAAGATCCATACACAGAGAAACATGCAGAGTAATGAATTCACACTCTAAAGGAGCCCAGATTAAATCAAATATTCATCAATTCAACGGTTTCTCTTTTTGCCTCTTTTTGAACCTGTCCCCTCTTCTTTTCTGCCCCCCCCTCTCTCCCCCCCTTTTTTTTTAATCATAAACCATCCATTACATCTCCTGCTACGGCTTTAAATCCTTCTCTGACTTTCAGTGTTTTCTGTCCTCCAAGGGTTGAAAAATCACTCTGTTGTATACCGCTAATTAACCAACTGCATGTTTCTGTTAATTAGCTAACTTCGCTAAGAGAGAGAATGTATTATGTATGTTGCAGCAGGTCCCAGTAGAATAGGCTGATGTTTTTCAAACCTGCGGCAACGTGCTGCGGTATCGTATGCAGCCTCTGAGTGTTTTATCACACGTAAACAACTTTTAAATGTCACAAATTAGATTATAATATAAACACACACAGACAGACAGAGAGAATAGATCACTTGTCAGGTAAACGTTTGAGTAAATAAAAAAATCTTAATGCATGACAATACTAATTTATCCTAATTATTCATCGTGATTATGATGTCCTTGGACTTTGGTTTAGGGGTGTTATGATTCATTACATTCATGGTCTGATGTGTTGGTGTCATGATTCAAAACATTTTCAATACATCACTGTAAGGAGTGCCTGAGAATGTATTCAGACGTATTAAAGTGGTGGAACAGAGTTTTGTACATTGTGTATGACATATTGTATAACATTAGCCAGTGCTGTACAATATTAATGTGTCTTCTGCCACGCTAGCGCTCCGTGAGGCATGTGTAATAATGCTAAAAGCTAATATTAGCATGCTACCATACTCACAATGACAATATTAACATGCTAATCTTAAGCAGATATAACATTTACCATGTTCACTTTTTTATGTTTACTGAGTTTGCACTTAACAAACATTGCACAAAACATAAAGTATAGCTAATGCTGATATTTAATCAAAAAACAATTTTATTTTAATTTTATTGGACAATTAAGATTTTTTACAAAAGTTATTACAATTCATCCTAAGAGGACCATAAATGTCTGAACAAAATTTCAAGGGAATCTGTCCAAGTGAGACATTTCACTCAAAACCACAAATGTGAACCTTATGGTTGGACTTAAGGAAAAATCTGAGCATCGCCAATGTTGTCCTCTGAGAAACATGACTGTCTGTTTAAAATTGTATGGCAGTCCATCAGATATTTGTTGATATTTCAGTTTGGTCCAAAGTGGTGGACCTACATACCAACCGACCATCCATAGAGCCATGCTGCTATCTTGGCTAAAAATGTTCAGTTGTTAAAGGTCCAATGTAAAATAATTAGGGATATTTAGAGGTTATTTTGGCAAACAATTAATATATTATTCATAGGTATGTTTTCATTTGTGTAAAGTAGGCATAATATAGGCATAGTTGTTTTCTTGTTCCCTAAGAATGAGCCGTTTTTATCTACAGACACCGCTGGTTGCCTTCCATGGAGTCTGACATGTTTCTACAGTAGCCCAGAAGGGACAAAAAAAAACGCTGAAGGGGCCTTTCGTGTTTTCTGTGACATCCGTGGCCACTACAGTTTCTCCTACTTCCTCACAGCCCATTCTAATTCCCAGCCTTTCAAATACAGACACTAGCGGTGTTCCGTTAGTTGCTATCTGAAACTGTACTGCACTGTATGACACAAACTGGAGCAAATAGTGTATTCATTGGGGAGTGTTTTTTAAGGTGTGGATTGATATGGATTAGTGAGTATTTTATAGCAGCAGGACTGTGACAGAATTGACCCAAAACAGCAGCAATAAAGGAATGTGTCACCCAGTGTAACAGTGTGACTTATTGATGTGTTTTAATAGTTTTTGCATAATAATGTCATGGACAATACTTGGTTTTGGACCTTTTATGGTATTTATTGACAATAAAGAAACCTTTCTGCCTCTGAGCATACTAAATAAGCCTAAGAAAACCCCCAAACAAAATATATAAAACCATTTAAAGACACTGTATAAAAGCAGCTTTTAAAAGAAAACTTATCAGAAATACTTTAGAAATACTTTAATCGAAGAGGACAAAGACCAAAGGCCATTTCTTAAACTGTGGACCCTGATGGTAAAAGCA